GTCCTGCCAAATCACCCTCATTCCCATCACACTTATAGTTCCTTAATTATATGATACAAATTATGCTATACAAATCCAGTAGTGATGATGGTGGTGGTAGTGATGGTCGCACCAACAGTAGTGGCAGTGGTGATGTGATGTGATCGTGGCAGTGGTGATGATAACGCTGGTGCAGATGGTGGTGGTTGTGGTGATAGTGGGGGAGGTGATGGTATGATGTCTTGGTGGTGATGGAGGTTAAGATGATGGTGGTGATGGTAGTAGTGATGAAGGTGGTTGTGAAGTGGTAGTGGTGATGGTGGTAGTGATGATGATGGTGAAAGCCAGATACATTAAGAACAGAAAGTGAAGAAGTGGAGACAGTTAAGTGTAGTTAGTCAACTCTAGACACAGTTGGGACAAGAATGTGATGGAGGGCAAATGAACAGAGGGGCTTCCTTGGGTAGTTGGAACAGAATGAAATTAGCTGGCTCCTGGGGTTGCCAAGGCCATGAGTCTTACACAGAAAGTTTTCTGGGCTTTCAACATTCTGCTGCAGCTTGGTAGGCAGGTTCAACAGCTGTGCAGTGGGACTTCCTGTTCTCTGAGTGGTCCTCTATGGGGGATGTGACAGTTGGAGGTAGGGATTGATGAGACAGAGTGTGCCACCTAGTGGTCAGACCAAGGTAGCTATGTGATTACAGTCTGGCTCTGGAGACAGATTGCCTGTGTTCAAGTCCTGGCTCTGCCACTTATTAGCTGTGTGACTTTAGGTAAGTCACTTAACCTCTGTGTCCCTCAGTTATCTCCGTTCTTGGAGAACTGAAATAATCTCCTAACTGGTTATTCTTCCATTCCATCTCCACTTTGCAGCTGGGAAAGCTTTCTGAAAGATCATACCTCTGCCTCACTGCCTCATGGATACTAAAAAACAAAAACAAAAACAAAACAAAACAAAAAAAGCAAACAACCAAACTCACTGCCATGGAGTCAGATCTAACTCATCGTGACCCCTCCTTGGGTTTCTGAGGCAGTATCACTACCGAAGTAGATTGCCAACCTTCCTTCTGAAGAGTGGCTGGTGGGTTTGAACCACCAGCCTTCTGGTTAGCAGTCACATGCCTTAGGCACTATGCCACCAGAGCTCCCCCTCATGGATACAGGAGAGCTTAATGTACTTAGTGCAGTCCATCATAACATTCGTTCAAATCTGGACACTCCAGACTCATCTCCTATCCTTTCTCCAGCTGTCCACCTGTCTTGTGCTGGTCTCTTGGTTCTGCTGCCTCTGCTGCTGCCATTCTCTGCCACTGCTTCTTGCCATCTCTGGTGTCACAGCTCTCTTTCTCCTGGATCGAGGAGGTTAAACGCAGGGACCTCAAATCCAAAGGGCATGCTGCATTCCTGGCTCCTCTTAATGGAGTGAGATTTCCTCCTTCTGCCTCTGGGGTGGCTCATTTTAAGCCAAGCAAGATGGTAAAACGATCAATCCTCACATTAGGATTCCACACAACTTATTTGCATGGTCCCACTCCCAACGGGGTGCCATATACTAAACTTACATTATTAGTAAGCTATCCAATCACCTTGGTGGGCCATAAACTCCCCACAATTGTGTAGTCCCACCTGGTCAGTTAGTGGGAGTCACAAAAAGTATGGCTAGATGAACCATATTAAACAATTCACTGCACCACACACACCCCTAGGTAGAGTTAGGTACCTCCCTGCTCTCTGTTTATATCATATTTAATCAAATCTCAGATGTCAGCAATTTTAAGGCACACCATTGTTTTATGTACCATCAAGAGAAAGAAACCAAACTAACAACTAAACAATGACACACTTTCTTATTTCTTAGAATTTGTATTTTATCTGTATTGAAAGAGCTACTATATTTATTTCAAAATTGATTTTTACCACATATTGCTCTTGCATGCTTGAAAAGGAAAACAGAAGTGGAATAAATTGGTCCAGATATTCTCGAGACATCTTCATATTCAGAATCTTTTAAACCCCTTTACAATGCAGAGCTATGGATGTCCATGTTTCTCCACACCAGTTCTTCTCAAGATGTGGTCCCAGTCCAGCAGCACCATCATTGCCAGGGAACTTGTTAGAAATGAAGACTCTCAGGTCCTACACCAGACCACCTGAACCAGAAACTCTAGGCTGGGGCTCCGCGGATTGTGTTTAATGGGTCCTCTAGGGGATTCTGATGCTGAAGTTTGAGAACTCTGTTCTACACCGTATCATTGTCTGGTCCATCAAGAGTTTGGTGATGCAGCATTTATTAAAGTCACCCATAAAAGAACTAGAAATGATTGATGGCTCTCCCCCAGCCTCACACTGGATTACAGTCCATAAATATAACCCAAATCCATCTGTGGTGACAAAATGAGATTACAATGCCTTTTGATAACCCAGGTATTACAGCATAAACCTCCAGGGGTTTCCTTGCCAGAAAGCAAGCCCTCTACAAGTTTCTTCTCAGTGGAGTTGTACAGGAGCTTCCACTATAATGCTCTGGGTAGGTTTATTCCTGCCTCAAATGTTGCTAAACAGAATATATGTTACTTCCTCTTCATTTTAAAGCATTCAAAATAACAATGATTTCTCATAAACCATGTTGCATATTCACATGGTAAAGCCGGGATGAGTGGCTTCTACTTGATTTTTTTTTTATTATTTCTTTATTTTTATTGTGATTTGGGTGAAAATTTACAGAGCAAATTCACTTTCCATACAGCAGTTCACATACACTTTGTCTCATGACATTGACCACAAGTCACCACAATGCAACAGTCCCCCTCCCACTTCCTCCTGACAGTCACCTCTTCTCTGTGTCTATCCCTCTGTGCACACCTGCCCCCTGAGCTGTCTCCCTGTGCATAAACAGCCCTTCTTTCTCCAATCTACTTGATTCTTAATCCTTTACCGTCTCAAGGATTATTATGCTTGGCAGTTGGGCTTAACTCTTGTAAGCGTTGGTGTAGATTCCTGTGCAAACTGTGCTTTTAAAAGACTCATGTTTTATATTCCCTCTCAGACAAAAAAGGCAAGTCTGAAGAAGAAAACAACGAATCACACAAAACCCTGTCTCCCAGACAGACCCAAGATTAATGCTTGTGGCCAGCCTCCCAGCCACTCCTCCAGGCACAGATGCAGAGAGGCTGAGCAGATGGATGTAAGGCTCTCTCCTCTTGGCTGCCCTGCCTCTTTCATCGTGTCCCTTGTTTCTCACTCTGGAAGTCAGCTTCCGCCTTTCCTTGCCTCCCTTGTGGATGAAGCACAGGTCTAGGCTCTGCCAAACACAAGTGTCATTATTTGAATCCCAATCTAAAAGTGCAGAAAGCAAGAATTTCAGGGGACCTATGCTGGCAGGAGTAGTAGCAGCTACATAACGGTTCCTGAGGTGCCAGTGCCAGAGGATCAAGAGGTGGCACACAGCACCTGGGCTGGGCCATAGTGGTGTAGAGACTATATACACACACACACACACACACACACACACACATATATATACACATAGTGTCTGTGCCTGTCATGTGGGAAATTACCTTAATGCAATGAGAGTCTTCAAGTTCTATCAGGTGTTATGGGCTGAACTGTATCCCCTCAAAATATGTGTGAATCCCTAACCACTATACCTGTGGAGCAAGAAGGTGAGGAGTGTCTGGATCAGAGAGCTCTAAAGGGCAGCAGCAGTTTGGAGTCTTTTTTAACTACAGGGTTTGTCTGATATATGGTTAGCAGGTGTTGGAAGCAGTTTTGCAGCTATGTCAAGTAGGTAAGGATCCCTAGTGGTTCAGTGGTTAAGCACTTGGCTGCTCATTGAAAGGTCAGTAGTTCAAACCCACCAGCCTCTCTGTGGGAGAAAGATGTGGCACTCTGCTTCCATAAAAACTTATAGCCTTGGAAATCCTTTGATCCTTCATCTCACCTGCTTTGGACATGTTAGCAGGAGGGATCAGTCCCTGCAGGAGGACATCATTCTTGGTAGTGGGTCAGTGAAAAAAAAAAAAAAAGGAAGACTCTCAACAAGATGGATTGACATAGTGGCTGCAACAATGGACTCAAACATAGCAATGATTGCGAGAATGGCACAGGACCAGGCTGTGTTTTGTTCTGTTGTACTCAGGGTAGCTATGAGTCAGAACCGACTCCATGGTACCTGACAACAAATGAAAAACATTGTCTCCCAAATTATTTGCTGCTCTTTGGGAAGGGTCGATGTCTTACACACCTTTGTTACTCCAGCATCGAGTATTTAACAATCATCTGATGCGCCGTAGGCAGTTACAGAAAGAAATAGTACACATATGTGCTTGAATATATAGTGAAATTTGTGAGAGCTGGAACTCGATAGAACTGCATTGTTTTTCCAGGTCTTGCAAGTTTTCCATCTCTGACCATATCAAGTCTTACTACTTTTCTATCACTATCTATTATTCGAAAGCAACTAAGTTTTTGTTTTTTGTGATAGGTTTCCACCTTACACAGGTTCTGGCTTTCACAGGTTTTGTTGTATAAAGATCATGAAGGAATTCCTTACAGTGATTGTTTCTGGGAAAGAAAACAGGGATGCAGTGACTCCCATTTAAATTTTCCTATGTGCAGATTATTACCTATATAATATTATATATACATTATGTTTCTAAAAAATTTTCTATTATGTATATATAAAAATATTGTTGTTATGTGCTGTCCAGTTGGACCCGACTCATAGCGACCCCTCCCTTGGGTTTCCAAGGCAGTATCACTACGGAAGTAGATTGCCCCATTTTCCTTCAAAGGAGCGGCTGGTGGGCTTGAACGGCCAGCCCTCTGGTTAGCAGCCTCAACTTCCAGGTCTGGTCCGACCCTACCCGAGGGCCTAAGCTCATCCCTCAAGAAAGGAAATTAGACTTTCTCTGCCGAGGCTGTAGGAAGCAGGGCTTCTACCTACAGGGTATTTCGTCGCCTTCATGGCCCTGAGGAAGCCTCCGAACTCCCCCGGCGGGAGAGCGTGAGCCTCCAATCACTTCCGTTCTCGGCGGTCCGAAACCGGAAGCGGAAGTGCGCGGCGGCGGCCGACCGCAGCTGCTGTAAAGGGGCTTGAAGACGCTGCTGTGGGAGTGTCTCCGCACGGCTTGCAGGTGCAGCCAGGCCCCTCGGGAGAGCAGGGAGGGGCCGAAGGGCCAAGGGCGCCGCCTGCGAACCGGCTCCCTCCCCTCCGTTGTCCCAGGGCGGGGCGTGGACCCACAGCGCCGACCTGGCTGCCGGAGCGACCCAGCTCTGTCCCTCGCCCTCAGATACAGCCCGTCCGGCAGACAGGACTGTCATCCTTTCGAAAGAGAAATCGCGGGAATACAGTCCAGGTCTGTCGCATCGATCAGTTGGATAATTTATTATAAATGGACTCCCCCAAACGTAGTCGAGGCAAATCAAAAGTGTGGAAGCTAGGAGACAATGAAACTCTGCAAAGGCTGTCAAACATGTTCTTGTGCTGCTTTCTTAATCAGGCGGGGCAGCCCAAAGGGTATAAAGCAACCCCCAAGCTCAGGTGTGTAACACTAGCCCAACCCTCTCCGGTCCTCCCCCTCTGTGGTCGTTGTTGTGGTGTCTGTGGGAAAATTGCCGCAAGAGGGCCCTCCCTACCCTACCCATCTTAAGCAACATAATCTTGTATTACTATATCCACGTTTCATTTGTTGGGAGATTTAGTGTTACTTAGTTTTGTAACTGGAAAGTTAGGTTTAGGTCTATATGTGCCACATGGCTTGAGTGGCCTGACGTTGATTTGAAAAAATTGCACCCTTAATCAAGGGGTGAATTTGTGATAGGTTATTTTGGGAGAGAGAATTTGGACCCGCTAGCTACCTTGAAGATGGGGCAATCTACTTCCGTAGTGATACTGCCTCGGAAACCCAAGGAGGGGTCGCTATGAGTCGGGTCCGACTCAACGGCATATAACAACAACAACAACAAGCTACCTTGATGGCACATAACAACAAGCTACCTAAGGAGGGGTCACTATGAGTCGAATTGACTTGAGGGCAGAGAGTTGTTTTTTGTTTTTTTTTTAAAGCTAAATTTGGTGTAGCTTAGTTTAGTTTTCCTTCCCTCTTTCCCTTCCTTTCTAGACGGATTTTAATTTATGACTCGCACTTTGACTGTGGGCTTTGGTGTTTTTCACTGTGATGTGAGGTTATCTTAAGAGAAGCTGTTTCTCAATTGTGTGTATGTAGTCACAAGTCTTAGCATCAAGGAAAAGGAGAACTATTCAACTCTTTTCAAGTGGCTCCAGCTGTGACCCCTAGCCTGCAAGTACTCACAAACCTTCAAAATATAGGGGACTCCAGGAAAAAAGATGACACAAGCTTTGTTATGTTAGTACCAGAAATTGAAATGGAGTTGACCATCAGTGGGATAGCTTTTACTGTTTTCTTTCTTATAGTGGAGTTAAAAACTCATTTCTACTGAGATGAAGGAAAAATTAATTCTGGAGGAAAATTAAGTACCAGATTTCAATTAGAAGAGTAAGGCATTTGTTTCCATAAAGAATACTTGCTTTGCCTTGCCTTTTTGGAAGGAATTAGCATTGTTTCTATCTTAAAGACACCTGAGACCTAGTGTTGTGATGTTTATTATATGATGGACAGTCATTTTGAGTCATCCTTCTATTTAATTTATATGTTATATATAAGTTACAATGTTGGGTGTGTATATGTGTGTACACGTGGCTTCTTACACTAGCTATATTGCATGCATTATTCCTGTGGAGTGTTAATTGTTTGACACCTTTTCATTAGGATGTCCTCAATGAACCAGAAAACAGTGTGAGTGAAATAGATACAGAAATTGTCTATTCTAGCTGGAAAGACAGATTTTAAACACATAATGTCAAGTGATATAGGAACATGTAACTGGAGAATTTGTTGGGGGTATAGTTTTGGTGAGGGAAAACAAAAGGGACAGATGTGTGAACTTAAAAGATGATTTGGATGTAGCTAAACAAGTGGGAGCTCTGGTAGCATAGTGGTTAAGGCACTTGACTGCTAACCAGAAGGCTGGCGGTTCAAACCCACCAGCCACTCCTCGGAAGGAAGATGATGGGGCAATCTACTTCCGTAATGATACTGCCTTGGAAACCTAAGGAGGGGTCGCTATGAGTTGGGCCCGACTCGACGGCACATAACAACAACAAACAAGTGGCCGTGGGTTATGAGTGGAGGGAAGAGAACATTTCAGATTGTTTAGCTATCTAGTGCTGCTATAATCTGATGGTGCAGTACCTAAGGCATTTGACTGCTAACCAGAAGGTTGGGGGTTCAAAACCACCAGCCACTCCACAGGAGGAAGGTGGGGTGATTTAGTTCCATAAAGATTTACTGCCTGGGAAACCCAATGGGGGTTGCTATGAGTCGGAATCGACTTGATGGCAGTGAGTTTAGTTTTTGGTTTTATAACAGAAGTGCCACAAGTGGGTAGTTGTAACAAACAAATTATTTTCTCATAGTTTAGGAGGCTGTATGTCTGAATTCAAGGCAATGGCTCTAGGGGAAGGCGTTCTTTCTCTGCTGGCTCTGGGGGAAGCTCCGTGTCTCTTAAGTTTGTTTCCTGGTTTCTTGAAGATCTCCATGTCGCCTGACATCTGTCTTCCCCATCTCTGCGTGCTGACTTGCCCTATTTAATCTCTTTCATATCTCAGAGGAGATTGACATAAAACATACCCTACATTAATCCTGCCTCATTACCATAACGAGAGCAGCCATTCCTAAATGGAGTTAAAGCCACAGGAACAGAGGTTAGGATTTATAGCACATATTTTTGAGGGCCGTGATTCAGTTCCTAACACAGATGTAGTAAAAGCCCGGTGTGTTTCAGAGCCTAGAAGAGACAGGGAAAGCTAAGGAGGAAACAAAGTGCAGATTGGGTGAGTGAGGCTGGAGAGGAAGACCAGGCCTTGAAGGTCAAGGTAAACTTTGGACCTTGTTCTAAGGCCACTGAGAACCCACTGACTCAGTTTTTAAGTAGGGGAGTGACGTGATTACATTTCTGACTTAAACAAAGCAATAGCTGCTGGATTGAGCATGGAATCTAAGAAGGACAAGAATGAATGCAATCATTATGGAAGTGTGAATGCTTCCTCACTCGGATGATGGTGACTGAGACTTGAGGACTGGAATTGGAAAAGTTGGAATGTTTGAGACGTGTGCAGGGTGGATATTTCTTGAGTCCCTGTTATGTGGCAGATTTTACTGCTCCATAGGAGCTCTGGTAGCATAGTGCCTAAGGCACTTGACTGCTAACCAGAAGGCTGGCAGTTCAAACCCACCAGCCACTCCTCGGAAGGATGATGGGGCAATCTCCTTCCGTAGTGATACCACCTCGGAAACCCAAGGAAGGGTCGCTGTAAGTCGGGTCCAACTCGATGGCCCATAACAGCAACAACAACAGCAATCTACCACATAAGGAGCTCTGGTGGTGCAGTGCTTAAGACATATGACTGCTAACAAGAAGGTTGGCAGTTCAAATTCACCAGCCACTCTGTGGAAGGAAGACTGGACAATCTACTCTGGTAGAGATACTGCCTTGGAAACCCAAAGGGGTCACTCTGAGTTGGAATCAACTCAAATGGCAGTGAGTTTGAGTATCTACCACATGATATAGAGTGGAGGTCAACAAACTATGACTGGCACAGTAAATAAAATAAACTCAGTTTTATAACTTTTATTGGAACACATTACTTACATATCTGTGACTGCTTTCACAATATAACCACAGGGTTAGGTAGTTGCAATGGATATGATATGGCCCATAGAGCCTGAGATATTTACTATCTGGCCCTTTATAGAAAAAGTTTGCCAATCCCTGATATATAAAGTATTTAATATGTGTCAGACACTGTTCTGGTGGCTGGGGATGAAATCCTGAAAAGGAGGACACAGATCTGTACTTAGTTTACATAGTAGTTGGGAGGAGAGAAGCAAAAACACCTAAATCAATCAATCAATAAATAACAACTTGATAGGAGTAGGAGGGAAACAGCAGATTTAGAGGTATTATGAGAGAATATCAGAGGAGAAAGTCCTTTTATTTACTTTTGTTTCCTGGGAGGAGCCAGTGGCAATTACTAGGGCTTGGAAGGAAGGCTGGGCAATCTACTTCCGTAGTGATACTGCCTCAGAAACCCACAGGGGGTTGCTATGAGTCAGGTCTGACTGGATGGCATGTAACAACAACAGCAACATCATGGTCTGAAAAGGAGCCTTCGTGGTGCGGTAGTTAAGTCTCAGCTATGAACCAAAAAGTCAGTGGCTTGAACCCACCAGCTGTTCTGCAGGAGAAAGATGTGACAGTCTGCCTCCGTAAAGATTCAAAACCCTCTGCTGTTGAGTCTATTCCAACTCATAGCAACCCTATAGAAGAGAGTAGAATGCCCCGTAAGGCTTCCAAGGCTCTGTAAAGATTACAGCCTTGGAAACTCTGAGACAGTTTGGCTCTGTCCTATAGAGTCACTGTGAGTCAGAATTAACTCGATAGTGACGGGTTTTTATGTTGGCCTGAAATATGGGAGCTCTGGTGGCGTAGTGCCTAAGGCATTTGACCACTAACCAGAAGGCAGGGCCAGGCAGTGTTTCGTTCCGTTGTGCATGGGGTCACCATGAGTTGGGGGTGTACTTGATTGCAGCTAGCAACAGCTAGGATTTTTAGACTGTCTATCCTAGCTAGAAGAGCTCTGGTAGCGTAATGCCTAAGGCACTTGACTGCTAACCAGAAGGCTGGCGGTTCAAACCCACTAGCCACTCCTTGAAAGGAAGATGGGGCAATCTACTTCTGTGGTGATACTGCCTCAGAAAACCCAAGGAGGGGTCGCTATGAGTCGGGGTGACTCGACGGCACATAACAACGTCATCCTGGCTACAGGCTCACAGAAATGGAATTACATGAGCAACCCCTGCTTGGTGCTCTGCGTCCAGCCTCGCCCCTGTTACTGTTCTCTCTCTTTTCTTGCACACCTACTGAGACTTCTCAACCCTGTACTGGTGTCATGGTGACTGAATTGGGGGAATCAGGATGAGTGTGAATAATGATGTACTCCGGGCTCTGTCCCCACTTCTCCACCCAACTGAAGAAAAAAGGGAAGGGGAAGTATGGAGTTGGCTTAGGCCTGCCCCAGGGAATCTTCTAGAAGGTCATAGAAGGAACAGCAATGGAGGAGGGGTCCCCATGGCAGAACCTGGGCTCTGTGCTTGGTTCTTGAGCCCTTAGTCAGACAGGACCCGCTTGGAGCCAGCAGCAGCAGGGCCCCTCTGGAGAACTTTCCTGGCTGTCCCTTG